CCCCAAAACCCCAAAACCCCAAAACCCCTTTAAAATTCAAATCAGTTGAATATTTGGTTAATTATGAATACTCTCAAGGCATTTATTATAAGCACTAATAAGCTCAACCACTGATGATTCGAACTCGATTTCTGTTTTAATGCTTCTGTTGCTCTTAGAGGTGCTTAAACCTTGACTGTCTACATTATTGTAGTTTTTCCTTCTGAGCTCCCTCAGATTATCAATGACTTCTAAAAACTTCGAGTCTGTTGCTTCCTTAATAATCTCCTGGAGGCCAACAGAAGACTCTAGCTTCTCTCAAGGGTTACTAAGGAAGACAGTTGTATTGATCTTCTTTGGTTTTGGATTTCTCGTTGTATTATTGCTCTTGGGAGCCAACTTTGGTTTCTTTCCTCTACTCTTCCCCGAAGGTATTGATCTTTTTATACTCTTTCTTGTATTTCTCTTGGCAGACTGGCTAGCATTCTTATGATTTCTACTGCAAGACCTCTTTCTTTGAGATTGCTTGGATTTAGATCTTTTGGAGTAATTAGAAAGCCTGCTGTTAGAACAAGCAGTCAACCTCTTCGATGACCTCTTCTTTTTCTTGGAGTCAAGTCTTGTTTTGCTTGAGATTCTTTTGAGTCTTTCATGATGATTAGTCATAGCAGTTTCTTCAGTTAGATCAGGATATTCACCTTTTTCCCTATTTTCATCTGAATTTGAACTAATTTTCTCAATTTCTGGGCTACCACTTGCCTGGATGAGCTTCTTGTTAAGGTAACTTTCCATGTGTGGAGCAAGAGAGATATTGGAAGCTCTTCTTATATCATCAAAGATACTTTGTTTGAAAGTATTCTCCTACAATATTGAGTTTATAAAAATTACCTTATAGACAGGCTGGTTTTCATTAAAACTATGCGACAAAATCTCCTCTTGCTCTTTTACATTTTGTAAATCTGGCATTTTTGTAGTTTGCTCTATTTTGCTTCTAATCGCAGAACATCTATTCCTGCTATTGAACCTTGAATTTGGAAGGGACTCATACATCATTCTTTCCCTCTCAATAGAGCTCGTAGCACTCTTATCTCTACCATAACATCACTTTCCCCTTGACTCTAAAGAGTTTCCACTTCTTCAGTCCTCAACATTCCCCCTATTCCTCATCTGATCTTTCTCTCCCAAACAGCTGCCCAATGTCACACCATCATCTATAACATCTCAGTCTACTCCTTCTCCTCTACTTACTGTCACAAATGCGTTCGACCAAACTATTCGCACTGCTCACAACCTTGGTCTTGTCACTGGTGTCCTTCCCAGTGCGCTCTGCAGAAAACTGGACTTGGCCTGGCAGAGCTTGAGCCAGTGGGGTTGGGTGGAAGTTTTGAGCGGTACAGAGAGGGGGTTCTGTAGGAACAGGTTTTGGGAGATTTGAAGGTGTAGGCTGGGCGAATTTTGAAGGGTTATGGAGAGTGAAGTGAGATTGATTGGTGCTGTTCTTTGTACTCTGGGGAAATCTTCTTATTATGTCATTTTCAAGGTTGATGCCATAATCATTCTCCTTTTCATCATTTCTTATAGTGTTAAATTGGTTCTCCCAGGTGCTATTAGGTGTATTGGAGCTTAGTGTTTGGAGGTTAAGAGGTACAGGATGTCCAATCATGAACTCTCTAACCCCGTTTTCATATTTATCGATAGATTGGGTGTTTGTTATTTGCTGATCGAGTTTTCTAAATGATAGTGTATATTTTAACTGGATTTAAATTTCTGTACAACTATCTTTGATTAAGTAAAGCAATACAGAAATCATTTGAGATCAGCCAACTTGTATAAAAGAGTGACTCTTATTCAGTGAGTATCGATATTATCTGAGATATTCCTTTTGAATCTTTCTAACAGTATAGTTCAAAAGATTTATTTCGAAAATGGTTAAACTCTACCGAATATTTTCAATTTTATTATCTAAATCCATACCTAGTCCCTGTGCTGCCTTCACCCTTGAAGGTCCCAGTGTGAAGGATATTGATCTGCTTGAGGCTGGAGCTATTTATCAAAATCTGATGGTGACATGAGGTATTTAGCCCGGATTCGGTCAAGTTCACTCTCGATGCTCTTAGTTTCCCAGTCGTTGACTTCCATCCTCGTTTAAATTCCAATTTTAAATTATTTTTGAGGGGTTTTGGGGTTTTGGGGTTTTGGGGTTTTGGGG